TGTTTTGATTATCCAATCTGTGCTGTCAGATGGACTGTTCTGTGTATTTTTAGCTATGACAATTTTTAATGAATTCGCTTYATCATTTGAGCCGCTCTGTATACTGTTGCTTACGGAGGACTGATTGTTAATAGGCGAGATTATCTTGGGCGGCATTGCGCCGCGGTGTTATCTACGGTACCAAGGTCGCGTGCGAGTGCAGTGCCTGCGGAACCATACGCTTGAAAGTTAATCGATCTAATTAGTATCAACACTTATTTGACCGTGTGGAATTACACTTACGGTCGATTTGAATAAGAGTTTTGTGCAAATACGTGAATTGATTTCCTTAATATTTTGATCTAAGTTAGAATAAAATCGGTTACGAATYGCACTAGGTAGTGTACGCATGGCGCGGAGCAATTGACAACGATGTGTATTGCTACGCTGGCCGCGGTGAACTATCGACGACGACGAAACATTTAATACAATTTTTGATGAAACTAAAATGGGTTGTACTAAAATTGATGYACCATCTGTACCCATACTTGAAGTAATAAGTCGTAAAGTATCAACTAAAGTAGATTATGAACATCATTCGCAACATTTTTTTGAAAATACAAAAGAAGAAATGAAGATAACTGTGTATAATAGTGTTATTGATAAAATGTTAAATGGCATCAAAGTTCGTTTCAGTCAAGATACATTAAATTTAATTGATAGTTTTGGTAACTTATTAAAACTAGAAATAGAAAAAGAACATATTATACAAACTATTTATGATACATTTAGTTTATCTTTTGATCAACTCGACACTGAAGTCAGACTGTACAATAACTCAGTGATTGAGTTGGATAACTAAGGTTGGAACAGACCGAATGAGAACTTTTGAAAATATATATAAAGTTCTACAAGAATTTACTACCATTCCAGTCACTAGTTGTTCTTCTGAAAAAGCTTTTTATAAAATGGCAACAGTTAAAAATAAAGGCACCGGTCCAATGTGCGACCTACAYATACATTTTCGGTCCAGTGTGCGACCTACATATAGGTTATATTTWATTTAATTTATTATTTTATCCTTTAAATTTATCCATATTAATAGTTATAATTAGAGTTATTAATTCATTTATAATTAATTATCCTTCTTGTCTGATAAGAATTCATCGTAATTTATGTCATAAAAGCATCTTTTATGTCTGACGGAAATTCGTCAAATATATAGTTAGCTTGTTTGGGTGAAGGGATCTGCACCACTCCTCTTTAAGTTGTCTAGGTAATAATTTATATATTATGTATATACTCTTATTTCAGATCTATTTTCCACAAACATTCTATGGTTTGAGTATTGGCATTTGTATCAGAATAAATAAACAATTTTTGATGATTCACAGTACTGTGTATATGTACCCTTCATTGTTTAATGACGAATAAGCTCTGCATCATCACTATGGATTATACTTCTTAGTTCTACTTCATTTTTAATTATAGGAAGTAATGTTTCTTTGTCACGTTTTTTCTATGATGAATAAACGTCATTCCAAAATATCATTTTTTTTGCAACAAAGTCCAAAAACCTACRGGCCAGATACACGCRTTCCATAATTTTTTGCACCCACTGTATAATTGTCTTCTTCTGTGTCATCACTATCATTTTCAGTTACCTCATTTGGTCTAATATCATTATTACATCAAAGACGACTACGGTTGTATTTGAACTATCACATMTTTTCCACCTAATTTTGATCGCTTGTCAAATTTATAAATAGCCACATCACAACATAAATTAAACCAATCGATCTTACTTCGGCCAGTAAATTGTACAACTTGATGATCTGGTACCAAATGTGTCCACTGCCATACTAATTCCATAATCTCTGTTAATGATAAATTACTGTGACGTATATTATTTAAATCTAAGTAAGAAAAAAATTGGTTTTTGTTTTCGAATTGAACAATAAGTTTGGCAACCTCTTTTTGAACACTTAAAAGAAATKTATTTTTTGAAGGTTCCATCTGAGTTTCGTTCTTTACTCGTTCTCTCACATTCCTTTAATATTCCACCTCACTCTTTGTTGTTTCTCTCTTTGGTATAACGATTATTATTTTCATTTAGTGTTGGTAATAATTCTCGGTCCTGCAAGAATTATACACACATTTTTTCATCGTGTCAATATAGGTATCCTAATGTAGCACACATAATAAAAATCACAATATCGCCGTATTTAAATTTACTAAAACTCACAATAACATAATTCGACAAAGACAGTGAACCCGTAACCGAATGCCGAACGTTTTACAATATTATCACGTTTGTATCTCTACTCTCTACACAAAAAGAAATATATTTCCCCATGTTATATTGGAAAATACACACATTTATTATAAACCAGTTATCAAAATTTAGAAACAATATTTATCTTACTCATTTGTAGTAGGTTAAGTAATCCCTACTAAAATWATTCTGCAAATCCTGTGAAAAATTCCTACGCACGCCTATGTTTATTATTTATCATAATTATTTGTTTTAATTCAAAATTTTTTGAGTAGTTAAGATGTGCTTTTTTTTTATTATATCTTAAACCGTGGAGTAGTATAAGCTTTAAAGTAATATTTAATTTACTGTAATATGTTTATGTGTGATCGTTTATAGTATATAATATCTATGCATTATGTTTATTTTTAAAGTCATTGAACTACTAATACCAACGTTATATACATTATATAAGAAGCCATGATTTTATTTTTGTGGCAATAATTTATTTTAGTTTCGGAAAAAATGTAAAAAAAAAACACGAATAATAATTATCATATTATGGTTGTGTTCATTATATTGGTGGTATTCACTCCAGATCACGATGTATTGATTGCGGAGACTAAGCATAATTTGTACATGAGATGCAATGCAATGCATATTTATATTTCATTTCAGTCCAATTTAATTTGAATAGTAGTCTCAAAAGAACAATGGGTACGGAAGTTTGTTTCATGTTGCGGTACATTCAGATTTTTCTATTGTTATTCAATTAAATAATTCAACAGTTTCCAGATTATACTTTACTAACTTTAAAATGAATTCTTAATTCAGTATTGTATTRCTAAGTATTAAATCTGACTTGTAAATTTGTTTATAAAATAACATTTAAATTATAGACTATCATTATAAATTGAATCGAATAATCAATATATATAATTAAATATTTTATATATTACTATAATAATGAATAACTATATATTTAATATAATAATCAATGATTGTAACATGACAATTCAAAATATTATTTAAATAAAAGTTTTTTTAAAGGTTAACTATGGATAGTGTTCGAGCTCTGGAAGTGATGGGCCTTCTTCAAGAGAAGATCGCATTCCTCACTGGTGGTCGAGACAAGCGAGGGGCGCCTGTAGTTACGTTTCCCTCTACTCCACGAAGAGAACGAGCTAAACTTGAAGATTATCGACGGTTATTGCAATATTTTGGATCTATACCTCCGTAAGAAATTTTTACTTTTTATCATAATTGAAAGTTTTAATTTAATCATATGTGTTTGATTGTACGAGTATAATTTAAATTATAAGTAGGTATGTTAATTTTCCTTCATAGTTYATGTGAATAATATAGCTGTTGTGCCACCCTCAGGTCAGATCAGATGCTCTTGCCGCAGTTACGCGTTTTTTCAAACCAGAAATTAAGATATACAGGGTATATATAAACAGTTACAGGGTAACTATAAAAGTATTGACTTTTTTCAAAATATTTTTTTACATAGTTTCAAGTTGTTAAAAAACCAACGTTTTTATTAAAAAATTATATATTTTATCCTTATCATTTTTTAAGTGTTTTACTTTTTTTAATGACAACATAGTCTCAATTTCATATTCTAAAGTAGAATAATTTTTTTAAGTATTTTGATTCATAAAAATCGAATTTAGGACGAATAGTTTATGTGTTATAACGTTTTAAGTATTTAAAGTTTTGATTGGCAGAGTGAAGTGGTAAGGTTATTCCGCAAAATGTTTGTCCACTACTCCGCTTGTCTAAACTTTAAATACTTATAACTCATAAACTACTCGTCCTAWATTCGATTTTTATGAATCAAAATACTTAGAAAAATATTCTGCTTTGGAATATGAAATTAAAACTCTATGTTGTCATTAAAAAAAGTAAAAAAAACTTAAAAAACAATAAAGATAAAAATATTTAAAAATGTAATTTTTTAATAACATTTTCAACAAATTGAAACCATGTAAAAATATATTTTGAAAAAAGTCAATACTTTTTTAAATAATGAGTGTTGTTTGATAAAAGCATCACCCACTTATAAAAAATTCGTTCTGCTAGAATTTCGTTGCTCTACAGGTTATGATTATTGATTCGCATATATTATTATGGCGTTTATAATCGATAGTCGAACAGCAAACGGCAAAATAATGGAAAAAA